GCAAGCAGTGTTTCCTTCCCTTGAGGCAGTGTTTCTCATTTTGCAGTGAGCAGAAGCACTGTTACTGACTTAGACAGATAAAGTAGATACAACACTTGCACAGATTGTTTTCACTTGTCATCTGTCAGCTTTCCACTCCCCCTCCTTTCCTCTCCATCTTTTTTTTCTTGTTCACACACCAATGTTAACTAAATGTTTTGTCAAACAGTATCTCTCATGGGGTCGAAGACAGGAAAACAGACAAATCTGAGAGGAACTAGCGATGTGGTGCCACTGTGGCACTGGGTTCTATGCTGGGATACATACAAAGCATTTGAAGTGCCAACTTCTTTTGCTGTTATAACAGGCTGGTGGAGTGTGTAGGAGTGCTACAGAGAGCTATTTTGACATTGAGTCACCTAAGAAAATTTGAATTCCAGGAATCTATTATAATGTATTGTCTGTAACAATCTAATCACAATCTAATCACTATCAGACTCTTCAAAGATTGTTACAAACTATCAGCACAACCAGCCCAGCCTTATTATAGGACTGCTGCTCAGTTATCTGGGAAACACAGGGTAACCAATTGGAGAACAATGTGTAGATTCCAGGCAAACGAAGAGTAACTGAAAAGGAACTAATGGTTGGTTACCCACTGCAAAAGTGCAGTGGGAGATCGGGGTAAAATTAACCATATTTATTTTTTATGTTTTTCTTTTATTAAAAAAACTATGTGAAAACGAAGAAAGTATAGAAATATAAAAAGTCAATTAACATGAGAGATTAATTTTAAATATAGTTTTTTCCCTTTAAAATCTCTGAACCGTCAAAATGACGGCCTTGGGAGTTAAAGGTCCAGTGTTAAAATTTTGAGTAAAATGCTGTTTGTGCCTATGAAAAACAAGAACACTTTACTGCATTTGTTTAAAAAAATCTAACTTACAACTTGGATGTAAATAAATAAATGTTATGTAATATCTTCACAACTCTTATGTCTTATAAAAAGTAAAATTTACTGGATACTGACAAGTGACTGTAACTTCATATTGCGCCATTAAATTTTACCTTAAATAATTTGCATGTCTCTACACTTCAGTTTACGACTATTTAATTACAAAATTAGTTGACTATTATATCAATAATCCATTAATCCCACTAATTGTTTCAACCCTAACTGTTTCTATCTGTTTTCTGTACAGCTGAGCTCCAACCAGGGGTAAGTACATTGTTTATAAAAAAATTTATTGTGTATGTCCAAGACATTTCTCACTGTATTATTGTTAGGAATCAGTTTTTGTGGCTTGTTTGTTTGTTTCTTCTCTCTCCACCACCAGGTGGTGCACTGTCCTTGTTGGGCCTCCCTGCACACCTGCGGCTCGTTGGTTCATTACTGGAGGAGTATTTGAGCAGTAGGCTGTCACTACCTCGACGCCAGAGTGTTTGCCAGTTTTGGGTACTCTAGCAAAGCTGAGATTAGCAGAGTCTAACCTAGCTTTGTTTCTCTGAGTCTTATGAGCTTTTTTGTCTTTGCTCTTCGGCAGGAAGCCTTCCTATCAAAAATGGATACCTGGACCTTCTCCCCCTGGAAGGAATTACTGCGTTTACACTAAGCAGAGGAAAACCTCCACATGATCTGTTCAAGTCCCCATCAGAAATCCAAGTGACAGTCCGCTCCATTACTCCTCCGGGTCCAACGTAAGTCTACCTGTCCGCTCTCCAACAAGTTCCCTCTTCTCTGGATAATCCCACACAGACTGGATTCAAGGATTCGCAAGAGCCCCCTCAAACGTGAGTCCCTCTCCAGCATAATTCAAGCTGCAGTCTCATTTCCCACAATCCCTGAACTTATCTCTGTGATCTCCCCTTCAGACTTTCCTTTTCCAGTTCACTGAGTTCCAGATCCAACCTCTGTTTACTTTACTTCAAATAAACCTGTTAAACTTTTTCCTGTGTTCTCTGAGTGGTTTCTCTGCATGTGGGTCAGATTCCTTAAACTGATGATGACAATTATAAGCCTGGAAGGCTGGGAAGACTTGAAATGTTCTATGACTGTATTCACAATCATAGAAAGTTGGTTAGGTTTTAAATAGGCTTCAGCAATTGACAAACGTATAGCATATAGAGGTTCCTGTCTTAGATGCCAATACCGTCAACCCAATTCTGTTGTTAAAAAAAACTTCCAAGAAATCGAACTGTTTTGTGAGCCTCAAATTACTGGATCTTTTTGTTCTAAGCTGTGACACTACAGTGTAGTTTAATAAAGTTACAGCTTAGGATAGGGTAAACTGTTTAATTGCTCTCTGCTTCTGCTGTGTGTGTATGTGTGTGTGCGAGGGACCCAAAGGGGAAGGGGTGAAGTGCAGAAAAAATGTGCTATTCTCTGTGAGCTGATGGGCGGCACAAAGTAACACTTATGCATTTAGGTATTCCTGGCGAGAACTGCAAGTGGGAAGCTTCAAAACGTTTAATAATAAAACAAACAGAGACAGAACTGAAGGCGAGCTGCTGTGGATCTGCGAATACACAGCAGCTGCGGGGGCAGGCGGGGCACAACCCATCACTGGCACTTTGGTTAAACAGTTCAGTCCATCCTCTCAGAGGAAGGCAGGATCCTGCCAAAGAAGAAGTGGCATGGAGCAGACCAGAGTGTCCCCATCGCAGCAACCACAGTGAGCAGCTAGAAGTCAACCAGGTCAGGGAAACAGTTCAGAACAGGGCACTTCTGAGTTTCAGGAGTCCGTAGCCTGGCCAGGGGTCATAGGATACTCGCATCTGCCCCAGTGAGGGAACATCTGAACAGGAACAGACAGATCCAGGGTTCCAGGAATCCAAGGAGTGTTGAGGCAGGTTCAGAACCCCATGAGTCCAGCAGCACGTTCATTCAGACATGCTCAGATGAAAACAGGCAGGTTCAGTAGTAGTGGGGCACAGACAAGACATGGTACCAGGTGAACTGCGGAACTTAAACTAGCTCCCTCCTCTGAGTCAAAACATGAACAGGGCTTGCTTAGGGGAATAAGAGCAAGGAATACAGAACTTTAAACTAACTCACCCCACGCAGAGCCAAAACAGGAAATGGGGCACTCAGTGGCCAAGAGTCAGGACAAGATCAGGAGATGGCAAGGCAAACACTAAAACCCTCTCAACCCACTGATCTCCGGGGATGAGGACATGGACTATGGAAATAACTAAAACAAACTAATGAACCAACATCATCAATGATCTGGCCATGATAGCTGGGCTGAGCTGCCAATACAGCAGCAGAAGCAGGTGGATAATATGAGTGATGATTAGAAACTGGACAGAGCTAGCCAGGTGAGTAAAATTAACAATAAGGTCAGCTATCAGTGCAGACCATGACAGAAATAACAAATTTTAGTTCCATAATTACACTATTTATGGAAACCCGGATGTATATCTGGTTGCACATGCACAAATGAGCTGATGGCACGGATCGACTTCCGTGACGGATCTGGTAGTGACAGGCGCCATTAAACTTTCTTCAAATGTTGTTGGTCTTGTTTTGGCACCTCTGCCCTTCCACATTTAGATGCATCCAAACCTGGTTTTGTGTAGATGGCTAATAGAAATCGTGTGACGTATGTGACATTAGATTAACACAAAAAGTTTAAGTTAGTTTGATGTCTGAAAATTTTTAGTGGTAAGTGTCATTTTTCAATCAAAATTAACAAACTTTGGTCAGGGACCTAAAATGGAAGCTTTATATTTGTAGTGTTTTTTTTAAACGCTACAAATGTTTAGTTTCCATTTGTTCTAATTAATACAAATCATCCTAAATCTAGGTCCCTGTGACACACAAAGTATATATAATATAATGCACAGCTGAAAGCTGATGAACAATTGAAACAGCAATTATTTTGTGTGAGTATAACTATGTATGTATAATCTATATTTCTATATTATATTGGAATAATGTAAATTAAAAATGGAGTGTCAAAACTGTATTACCAAAAGAAAGCATGTTTGATATACTTTTATTAAATGCTGCTATGGATGGACTGGAGACCTGTCCAGGGTGGAACCTGGACACCTCTCACC